TCTTTACATTGTTCTTTTTATGCACAGTGTCCTGAGACAATGTGTGTTGGGACTTGGAGATACAGTATATACATAAACTGAACTGAACTGTATGCACTGATTTAAAACACAAACAGCTTGCTTTTCTTCAGATTTTGACAGATTGTTAGCACTTAAACTATGCATTGAAATTTTCCACCATGATAAGTGATAAGAAATGAAATTTCTAGAAATATTTCAATGTCTAATTTATTATCAAATCATGTATTTTTTTATGCTATTCAGACTAGAATTTGTTCCAATCATCAGATAGCAACAAACAGCTGTAAAGTTAGCACCTCTGGATGTTTTTTTTTTTTTTTTTTGGTTTTCTATCACATACCAACGCTCTCCCTTTGTCTTTTCAAAGCCATCTGTTAAAACAGGACTCATCCTTACCTTGGTCTGCTTCTTCTCTGTGGCGTAGACYATGGAGGTGCAGCACACCTCAGCCTGCTTGCGACCCTGACCGTAAAAGGACCAGCAGCAGATCTCATCTCCAGTCACGTTTTTCATGAAGATAATGTGTCCATTGAAGCTGAGTGACAGTCTGTCGAACAATTCAATGTTCTTCAACTGGTTATCGTCTGACTTACTGGGAGGAGAGGAGGGAAAAACTCAGTAAGTCCAGTTGTTAAAACCCTGGAGCTTGTTTAATATGAAGACTCACAATAATAAACTGTATACAGCATGGATTTGTACATTTTAGTGGAACACTTTTTAAAACATAAGAAGCTTTTGTTTTTGTGCAGATAAGAAGTGGACCTCCATAAATAGGTATCTCACCTGGTGTGAGAGTGTTTGTTGTTGCTTCTGTTGTACACCAGCTTCACTACAGGCTAACAGAGAGGGAGGGGTCTCATTACATATTTAGATTTCACACACAACATTTCAATCTGTCAATTGAAAAATACATTTTCAAACAGACTTTATTTATTTAGCATCAACACATTTACTTACATATAACTGTAAACAATCTGGTAAATACAAATCTAATGTTTTGGATACTTCTGTTACTGTTAGCTTCAGACACAAAAACTTCATCTGTTTTAACATGCAAGGTATGACCAAAAGAAGCAGAGGTGGGCACAGGCCCCCTAAAGCAGAGATTCTTAACCCATGGGCCACAGCGCCACCTTGAGGGCCTCAAAAGAACAACAGTTTTTAACTTTGGGCCACAGAGGGCCGTGGGACCA